CCCCAAAACCCCAAAACCCCAAAACCCCAAAACCCCAAAACCCCTTAATTTGCTGTTATAATTGAAAAGGCCAAATTACGTATGCTCTCAAAATTATGGATGTAATCCGACAAAGATAATCAGTTGGGAAAACTACGAGCTCAAATCGGATGTCAAAAACTAAATTTTCATAACTCTTACTTAATTAATAGAACTCCCAGAATGTTTTCTGAAATACTGACTTTCTTCGTCTTCCTCATCTCTGTCCATCAGAGGAGAATGTGCATCCTGCGGATAATCCTCAGTAAAGGTATCATGAGAAATTGCACTCTTTATCTCTTCTCTCGAAGTACGGTCCTCTTTCTTCTTGAGTCTTCAGACTACTGTGTTGATAAAGGGCATCCAGTCAGAGACTAATATGAAGAAGTAGTGGGCGGCTAAAGCTCCAGCAAACAGATCAATTGTGTAGTGAGACCTCAGGAATATCATCAAAAGTATCTGGAGAATCACGGTAATTATAGCAAATGCTTGGAGAATTCTGAAAATCAGCCACTGATGTTTCTCTTCCTTTGCACGCTCCCTGAATTCGAGGATCATTATCACAGCTCCCCCGACATGACCTGAGTAGAAGAAGTCATTAGTCTTTCCATAAGGCACTGTTAGAGATGGGAATCCTGGATTGTCCCACAGATATCCCTCGGGAAATTTCATTAAGAAAAGTTTTTGTATGATCAATCTTGTAAGATAGAATAAGGTCATAACTATTGGTAATCTCCAAGTCTTTCCTTTAAATACAAAGGTAAGAAGCCCTCCCAGCACAGTAATATCCATTGCCAGCCCTCAAACGATCATAAAAGCATGTTTAGAGCTTGTGTTATTATCGAAAAATTGATTTACTTTCCATGTAAATTCAAAAATAACGTCTTTGATTCACTCAATGTCTTCCTTTGGCAAGATTCCTGGAAAAGAGGCTGCTACAATAAGTGTAATGACAACTACGACCAAAACAAGCACTCGAAGAGAAAATTGTGTCCATCTTTTCCCAATAAAATCAACTCTTGAAGGCTGACCACTCCTCACAATAGAAGCCTGAGGCTTTGAGCTTTGTCCTGATGAACGAAGATAACTCTCATCAGAGTTTCTTTCTAAATCAGGGTCATGGAAACCTTCTTCATTTGTTGCATAGTTACGAGTAGTATTATTGTCCATTCTATATTTTTCTCAAAATTAATTATTATTGTCTTCTAATAGTAATCATTCAACCGGCCTTTTTACAAGTGGGGTTTTGGGGTTTTGGGGTTTTGGGGTTTTGGGGTTTTGGGG